GCAATGCTCTAACCACTGAGCTATGGGACCAGGCTGAACCTAGAAGGCGCTGACAAGTTTTTCACTCCAAAGGCAGCTCACAACACGTGCCACACATACTGATTCGAGTCCTGGTGGGTCTGGCGTTTTTTTCTCTCTTTTCAGGCAGTTCACTTCCCCGACTGATCCTTTGAATAATAATAATAATAATAATAAAGTTCACACATGTTATGTGCAACATTGGCAGTTCAGTAATTTTACACACATGTGCAAACATGCAGTACAAAGTCACAGGCAGGCTGTACGCACTGCACCCTACTGTGTTTGGCGTGCATGTAAATGTACATGCACTGCACTCAAAGTGACCTAAGGAATACTCGAATGTGACTTAAAGAATATTCGAATGTGACAAACCGAACGAATGTTGGAATATTCGAATATTCGTTTCGTTTGGTAGGAATCAGAGAGCCGATGTCTGGTGAGAAAACAATCAATTCACCAATCATCTCTTGTTTTCAATGTTTCTTTATTTTATTATGTTAACAATTTCGCAATCTCTCTCTCTCTCTCTGTCGCCCCCACTGCTCATCATCGTGCATTGACGTTGTAATCACGGATCATGCTCACCTGCTACTGTCTGTCACACCTGTTGCTCCTCTTGGTGCATCTGACCATGCACAGATCCTCAGTAACTTCCCACAGCCTACTGATGCTGCTTATCGTGAGGAACCTGCTACAAACGGACATCCCGATGCTGCACCACAATACCACTTCAGGGATGTTGCAACAAAGGCGCACTATGTCTTCAAATCCGTGCCATCTTCCATCTCAGATATTGTGAATGCAGAGCTCGCTGATATTGACTGGAGGTGGCACCTGCGTGCTAGCAACGTCAATGATGCGGCTTTCGCGCTTTCCCTTCCTTCTAAGCATTGCCCTTAGAAGCACCTCCGGCCATTCAGCAAGCAGCCGTATTCTCACCGCTGCCCACGACCCATTCAGCCACCCTGGGTTGATGCCCATCTCCGCACAGCAATCAAGTGGAAATATGATCTCTATAGCATTTAGAAGTACCCGACACAACAAAACAATCAAGCATACCAACAGCAGCGAAATCTACTGAAAACCCTGGCGCGGACGAAGTATAGAGCTAATATCCTTTCAGTGTAAGCTACTTTGCAGGGTGGACACCGTCCATCGCTTCGCCAGTTTCTGAGACAAGCAAGAATTCGAAACGCATCATGGGAAATTCCGTCGCTCACCGCAGGGACTCAGCAGGCGACTGACCCTTTGGCCAAAGCCACAGCATTAAACACCCGGTTTGCCTCTGTGACTCGGTCAGATGACCAATCGCTCTCTATTCACCCTATTGTCACCCCCCCCCCTCAGAGTCCTGGGCTTGTTTCACGTCCGTGATCACCACAGCTGCCACTGTCCGGCGTCATTTGAGGAAGCTTCCGACGGAAAAGGCATCTGATCCCGACGGCATCCCCAACCGGGTCCTCAAGGCCCTAGAAGGCTAGAACCATCCATAGCGTTCCCTTTGTGTCCTTATTTAAAACATGTCATTTTCCACGGCCATAATTCCCTTTCGCATGGAAAACAGCGAAGGTCCTACCTGTATTCAAGAAAGGTTGGCGCCACGAACCGGCAAACTACCGCCATATCTCCCTTCTTCCCTGCGTGTCCAAGGTATGTGAACGCACCTTCTGTGATCACTTATACACACATGTTTCGCAGTTCCTGAGTCCCGAACAATTTGGATTTCGTAAAGGCGACTCTACCTCCCTTAAACTGACGCGCATCGTGCAATAGGTAAGCCAGCATAGGCATACCAGAGCCCTTGCTGGTATTTGCTTCTTTGACTTGGCTAAGGCATTTGATACCGTCTGGCATCGAGGACTTTTGGCAAAGCTCGAGAATGCATTCAGGGTAAGCAAACAGCCCCTCTCCTGGCCGAAATCTTATCTCTCTGGGCGTTATCAGTACGTAACTGTGCTTGGCACATCCTCGGCCGCAGGGCCAGTATTGTCAGGGGTTCTTCAAAGATCAACTCTTGGTCCCTACTATTAATAATTTACGTAAACGACTTAACAGCAGTCTTCCCTGGAACGTCTTTGTTTGCTGACGACACGACCCTTCTCACCTCATCAGCGTCCCTCACTGGCCTGAAAAATAACTTGCGTGCTGGCAATCAGGAAGTTCTTTCCTGGATGTCGTCCTGGAGGCTGTCCCCAAATTTATCAAAAATAATGATCATGCTCGTCCCGCCCCAGCCGGAATTCACATCTCTCATCCATCCCAACTTTTCAAATCCAATTGACATAGTGTCTTCTCACATACTCCTTGGCATTGTAATTGACTCTGCACTCTCTTAAGGGCCCCACATCGAATAATCTGTCACATAGCAAGCAAATCCTTAGGAATTTTCTCCCCCCACTGCTCCTAACTCCCAAACTCTTGCAAGCTTCCTTTATATTCAGCCTACATTCGCCTAGTATTTGATTATTCCGATACGTTTTTGGGCTGTATTATCCTCGTCCGCTGCTGCAAAGCTTCAAGAAGATCCTTGAAATTATCCTTCGTCAACCCCGCATGCTCTCACCATCCGCTCTTTATAAACTCGCTCACACGACCCCGTTATCACACGGACGCAGTGCACACCTGGCTGCTCTTGTCCATTATAATTAAGCTTGGGTTGTACCCACCTCATTCCATGTGTTTTAATTATTGGTTCTCTTCTCTAAGAACTAGGGACTCGCTCGTACTCCCCTAGTGTAACTCATCCACTCTATTGCGCTTCCCTCTCTTTATTGCTTTTTTCTGTTTGGCTCACTCTGCCTAGAGAAGTTAAGGACATGATCTAACTCCGCCTGTTCAAGATCCATACCACCCCTTATTTACTACGACATAAGTAGCTCATTATCCACATGTACTTTGCGTCTCTGTGCTTTTCACTGTTTTTATTTGACATTCCCCTTCTTTACTGAGTCTTTGTTGTTGTTGATTTTGCTACTCTTTGGGTTTTCCTCCCCTTACGTTTATTTATCGCCGTGGTTGGTAATCACCCACTCTCCTAACATTGGCCGGTGTTTCCAGATGTTGTAATAAATATAATCCAGAAATATAATGGACTCGGATGAAGATAGGTCCATTCTGCCGGCAGAAAAATTGGCAGAATTCGGTACTTTTTCTGGTAAGTTTCATGCATGTTTGGTATGTGGATAAAGAAATGGAGCAGAATTGCCCGCCATAAGGTTTGTATGGTTCTGCAAATTGTTCTGCTTTTCGAGCAGAATTTGCCACCTTTTCGAGCAGAATCCGCCGGTCCCTAGATGAAGAGCCAAGGTTTAATTTATACAAAAGAGAAAGGACCAAGGAACTTTAATATAGTACGTGTAAGGATGAAGCAGTTCTGTCCGCAGATAGAGTATTTCGCTCCTGCTCTTGTAGCAGTTGAGCACTCTCATGTGGGTAGTGCCTTTGCTGTTTGCGTTATGCAGAGCTCACTGACTTGTCAGCTTGAGCACTCTAGCAAGGTGCGTTCGGGCCTGGTCTATATCTGGCTTTGGAAAATTTATTTTCATTGCTATCAGGCTCGGCCTCATTTTCTCTGTGCTGCGCTGATGAGTCCACAAAGGACAAAGCAGTTCTGTCTGCAGATTGAGCAGTGCCATAATAAAACTATAAAAGTATTATAGTGAAGTACAAGGAACTAAAACAGTTCATACGGATGTGTGCAGGCGTTGTGTGTTTTCGTCTTATCCAAAACTGACAACCAATAAGTTGCTATGAACGGACGGACCAAATGAAGATGACATCACGGAATTATAATTTCCTCTGACTAGAATGCCTGCCATTGATAAGAAGGATGGAATCTGCTGCGACTATTATGTCCACGTTGCAGTGAGGATTGGGACAGAAATGTCAGCAATTTTCAGATGTGGCATTAGACATCCGAAATGATTTCCCATGGAATTTCCGTGTATGTCTTCCTACATTATCCGCATTGGGCTTTGCATGGCCCTGAATACTCCCACCGTACATGTACAGTGCATGTACAATGTAACTTGGTACAGCCGTAATCAGCTCTAAGCAAACATCACAACCACCACAGTCTTAGGCTTACAATTCAACAATTATATCTCCATAAAGTTTCGACTTTTGAGGCTTCATCAGCTGTAGTACAACTTTAATAATTCTAGTTGACTGGTTAACCCTTTGAGAGCAGATTGGAGATTTCAAAATTCTGCATATTTTCATCTTCTTTGGGACGTAACTTCAGTTCTTAAGAAGCATGCAGCCACACAACACTCTCCAAACGGTTTCTGGCCAACATGCAGCCTACAACAACCAATACAAATGAAGTCACATCCGAATTTTCGGGCCAGGCAGGCCCAGGCTCATATTCATGGGTAGGAGACGATCAATGACAATGGGCTCCAATGGAACAATGAGGCATCTGCAATGTGGTAGAGGAGACCAACGATCAGGCCAAACAAATCAATGTTTAAAGGAAATTCCAATGGAAACACATACCCCATGTACTAGTACAATGTACGTGTGGTCACGTGCTACATTGGTCACGTGCTTCTATTCATCGGGGGTCTCCAAAATTAATTCTGATCAACTATGAAAATGATTATGCGAGGGCAAGCGCAATTGGTCGAGGACGCTGTGCGAATGTGTAACGTTCTGTGTGTGAGATAACCACGGATATAGCAATTTATGTTTTGAAATCTTGCGGGATAAGAGCAAACTCAAGTACCTGTACAAGTAAGTAGTCAAAGGGATATCTGTAGGGAGCAGAACATAGTTTCCAGAAATAATTTATTACCGGTAGTAGTTAGTTAGTATGCTGCAGTGGCATGTTGTTCATTGTATATACACAAATAGGGGATTCTCTCGAAAGGCATCAGCCTTTGGGTAATCTTGCTATAAAGATTATTATTATTATATTATTATACTATGTACATGTACATGTACGTGCATCGTTTTCAATTATTAGTGTTTGTCGCATCTCAGTAGGATACACTGAAAGACCCGGTGGCCGTATTGCTGTTGCGCTTGCGCTTCCGTTCGGCTGCACGTTCCGCATATGTGGTGGAGACGTCAGGTGCAGTGGGCGTGCGCGATTGGACCAACGGCGCCGGTCCGACATCAGGGGGTTCCATATCCGGACACGTGGTTATGATAATCTCGGGTATAATAAACTTCGCACGGACCCGCAGTTTCGACTGATCGGACTTCTTGCGCGAACCTTTCCGTGCAGGCTGCTGGGAGTGGATGGATGCTTCAGATTTCGATGAACGGTGTTCTAAGGGTCTTCGTTGAGGCATGCTTGTCGGTGGTCGTGATTTTAGGCTAGCCTTCGGTGAGCTGGATGTCGGCAAACCGTCTCCCATACTAGACCCAGGTCCCATGCCCATGGGTGTATCCAGACTCGCGCGCCGACGCTGACCCCCGCGGTGCACCAGCTTGTGGTCCTCGGCGGTCAGAGGAGGCAGGTTACGCGGCCGAGGATTACCCTGGGGCCGTTCAGTACTTTTCGAGCTGTTAGCCAGCGAACCATCAGCTGGTACGGGCGAGGCGGTTCTCTGCTTCCGACCATACTGCGACGTATTCTCCACTAGATCGTCTGCACTCCTCTTCTCCAAGGACTGTTTATGAACTGCCTTCTTGTGCGTGGTTGATGGATCACTGGCGTAGCGTCTCAGGCGTGTGTGCTTGGGCGGAGGTTCATTCGGAGGGGGCGGCATGGGACCATGATGCGGCGGCATCTGCTGACCGGCTGGGGGTGGCGGAGTGGCGAATTGCGTGCGACGTGATGCTGTGGCGCTCGTCGGGACAGTTTGCCGACGTGTCGATGCGGAAGGCAGCGTAGACGCATTTCTGCCAGCTGCAACTTTGGCCTTTGCCATCTGCTTTGATCTTGCAGACCAGCGTCGTGTTTGGGTGTCCATCGAGAGAGACCTGACAGTCTCCATTACGTGACTGTGTCGCAAGGCCTGATCACGGTCCAGCAGAACTTCTGAGGATTTGCTCAGAACTGTGGTGAAGGCCGATGCATCCAGACGCGTGGGCATGCAGGAATCGCTACGTGTGAGATCAGCAATGGCGCTGACTGCACCACCATCTGCAATGCCGACAGTTTGCAGTGAGCCATTTCGGATTGAAGACGGGCTGGTTCGGTGGACATTGAGACTATTCCCCAGCTCCCCTCCAGATTCCATCATCATCTGGTGACGGATCATCTCGAATCCGCTCGACCAGGAAGGCATAGAAGAAGGCGAGCTTGCAGAAGGCGGTGTGTCCTCGGAGTCATCGAATACGGAATTGCGGACCTCTCCAATGCTGTACATGCCTCAACTATGGTGGGTGCCTTCGCGGAGCAGAACCTCTTATACGATTATTAGGTTGCACTCACAGCAGAGGAGTAGTACCGCCTCCTCTAACTCGTAAACAAGAGCCCACGTAAGCACTGCAGTCTGTTAGATTCCAGAAACTAGAAAAAATGAATTGACGATCGCTCCTCCATCCACTGTAAACATTGCACTGCCCATCTGCACCTTATGCTACACCCCCACGTCTGCCACAACATGTACACTTAGGCAAAGCAGTGTACGTAACAATCATAGTAGAGCCTTATCTATTCACCAAGAACACGAGACCCGTGTTGCCACTGTACTAATACGCATCGTTAGTGTATGCCACGGAACTCATGGTGCTAGTATCACCAATGCTGGCAACCGTCAACACGACATGGAGTTAGAGATCGGTGCACTGTTTATGCGTGCAGTGCGCTTCAGCTCTGGAATGGCTCAGATTCAGATTGTCGGATCACATGGGCAACACAGATAAAATCCATTTTAGCACCGATGTCACGTACGTCGCCGATCGCGACGCACACAACGCATTCAATGCTCCGGCGCCAGACGCAACTGTCCAAGAAGTCCATGCCGTGCGTAATATGACGCGGGGCTGCGCTGAATACCGAAGCTAAGGGCAGTGACCCCGGGCAGTGGTCCCAGCATTTGCACCGTATTGGCAAAGCTGGGTTGACAGCAGCCGTCGTTGGTGCCAACTTGTGGCGCAGCAGATGACGGCAACCATGCAAGGCAGCGCGTTTCTGCCAGTCATCTGCCCACTCCGGCCAATGCCAAACACGGTGCTTCGGTCTGGATTCTTAGCGATGTATGGACGGCATGGCATGTTGGTAGGGTCTTACCTGGCACACGATGGACTATACTCGGGGTTTTATTGCGAAAACAAGATAAATTCAAAAGCAAATCCCAAAATTGAAATCAATATCCAGTGCATTTTCGGATTCAGTTTGAGTCTGACCATAACAGCACAGAATTTAGCCAGTCGACTCGGGTGCGATCTGACTTCATTATAATCTTGCAGTCGAAGATTTTCAGAAGGTGAGATACTGTGTGCTGCCGCTTCCACTGATAAAACCTGAAAACGATCACCTACTGTGACCTAGGCTATACACCTGTTCGCCATCTATAGAGTATGGGAGACAGTTTGAGGCTTGCCCCGAGGGTATACAGATGCGTGCGTTATCGCTGAACCAATGTCGAAGTCACGAGAATGAGATTGACGAACATGGGGTAATCGATTTTAGCAGAGCCAAGAACGTCAGCAGAAAGCAGCGTTTCTGCCGGAGGAGAGAAAAGGTGCTACCAAGAATTAGAATTCAATGAATGTGTACGACCATAGTAGATCCTGTGTGTGCCTAAGTAAGCACTCAAGTTTAGTGAATGCTGAGCGCTGGCTCGAGCAGGATCAAATCCCGGGTCGTGGAATATTCATCAGAGGATGTCCGGCATCACCATCATATCAGGGTTCCCGAGTCTCCAAAAGCGGTGGGCATTTACGGCCAGATCTTGCCTAGAAGACCTAGTGTACAAGTACATGATTGTACTGATGCAAAGACATTCATTGTAATTATTTACTCGCTTCTCCTACACGGAATCGACGAAGCGACCATGGTGTCTCAACTATGAATCGAGCTAAATCACCCATACCCATGTTGAGCCACCCTCCGTATGTCCGTTGGATACCAGCATTCGAGTTGACGAAGCTGGGTGTCTGCAATGCAGGTACATATCTATCAACACACATTCTAAGCACAAGCTGACGGAGCGTTCATGCCATGCGGCTGCAGATCCTGCATAACATCAAGCGCATGTGCAGCCACACTCGAATCTTGAAACGTGGATACTGGCATTAGGCAGTGATTATGATACAAGTTTGTAAGCAGGTTCACCTGTGCTAGCAAGCCTACCCACGTCCACAGACACAGACATGCCCATCGCGGAAGCAATGATAGCCAACAGCTATGTTAGACATAGCAACTTGTGCTGGGATTACACCATTCAACAGCTTGCAAGGCTGATGACCGCCACTTAGCCTGGTATCCACCACATGGCTGATTGAAGTGGCTACCCACGTCAACAGACACAGACAGACACAAACACATACACTCATACATCACATGCATGCCCACGCACACACGCCCCCCCCCCCCCCACCGCACACACACACACACACACACACACAAACACACACACACAGTAAGCGTAGTATTATAATTTACAGTAGGTTGCCAAAACTAATCTTATCTAAAACTCCTAGCAGCACTACACGTAGATGCAATTAAAGTCTCAAGGAAGCGAGAAAACCCTAAAATTTACTTCGAATATCAAGGGAGGAAATTTTTCAAGGAATCGGATAAACTGGTGACGACATGTCTTGTGATCTCTGTAACTATTACATTATGGCGGTGTCAGGAGCAGGCGTTTTGAGGTCCATGTGTGGAATGTAATCAATCAGTGCTCATGCAAAGATCAGATGAGGAGAATTCAAGAACTGAGAGGTAGGAAAGTGTTGCACATGGCAATGCCATTACGTTTTTTACACATCAATATCGTTCGGAGCTGCGTCTTCAAGTTGGACTCCGGTAGCTCCACTGCTTGATGTCCGAACAGCGGCCTGGTCATGTTGATGCCCAGCGTGTTGTGGGGAACTAGGATTCTCCCCCATCTCGGCATCAATCAACTCCGGGCTACTACCACCATCTGCGTATTGGAACTGAACTGGGTTGTCGGCGGGGCTTTCATCGGTGCCTTTGTCCTGTTGCGGGGCATTCTCAGAGTATGGGGGTGGCTCGACAGACTTGCCGGAGCTGGGACTTCGCTTTGTGTCCGCGTCGACCACACCGTTGCCTTCGTGTTGGGAATGTGCAGGTCCGGTGCTTGACACCGCGATATCACTGTCGACAAACTTCTGTCCCACCTTCATACTGCCGTTGGACGATGAGGTGGAGGTCAGCTTGTGTCGTGAGTCCTGCGTCAGGGACTTGCCATTGCTGCCACCACTGCCACCACTGTTCTTCGTGGACGAGCGGCTCAAGAACGACCGGTTGGTACTGCGCTGCGACAGAGATCGGCTGACCTCCTCGTGAACCTGCAGTCACAGTGATAAAACTAGTGTTAGGCTGGCCAGGCAAACATTTTTTAACACAATTATGCACCATTATCCAAAAAGTCCTGAAGATGGGCCTAGCCGGAAAATTTGGATTTATTTATTCTATTCGGAAGAATTCGTAGCCGAGAGACCGTTTTTGGGTAGTGATGCATAATTGTGTCAAACATGAAGTGGCTACGGCGGAGTCTGAACACCCTGAGGTTGGTGTTACCAGGGAAACAACCAGATGAAAGCACACACATAGGTACACCTCTGCACAATCAAAAAAACTCGTCCATGCTCCATTCGTTCCAGGATCCAATATTGAAGGAAGGATTATCAGGTCAATGGCATCATGATCCGACCCAGCTAACGGAGTTTCAAAGTGAAACATTTATCACAGAACCTCTACAGGTTCTGGCACATAATCAGATGATGGACATATTTCTTGGAATGACACAAACAAGACATGTATACGGACGTAGGTTGTGGATTTAGAATCCTGAGTGTGAGCCAGTGTTGCTCACAGCCCACTCGTAGGCTACTGTAAGTCAACAAATATTCCGCGCATATTTATTTTCGCCTATTTTCGGCCCGATATGAAAAAATTTTGCAGCCCAAATTTTGTTTTGCAAGGTTCAGCGTGACAGTATATACAGGCAGCAGCAGTACAGACCGAGAATGTGTTGCAGCCGAAATGTGTTTTAGCCCAGGAGACCGAAATTTATGGGCCGAACATTTGTCGACTTGCAGTACGGATATTGAGAAAATTCAGAGCATGAGAATGACGATAACGCTCCACCAGCACTCACCTCCTTTCTCAGTCCAAAATGCATGGCCACCACGAACAGACCCAGGAAAGCATTGAGGATGGTGAAGACGTACTCGAAGACCAACTTGACCTCGCCAACCAGCGCCATACCGAACAGCCAGGTCAGCCCGAGCAGCAGGGCGAGGGACACGGAGAGCTGTGCGAGGGGAGACACAGGAGTTCAGAAACAGTAGTGTTGAGTTCGCAATCACTACTACACACAGGTGAAGTACTCTGAGATTTCCAGTTCGACCAAACATCCTATCCACCCCTGATGTTCCACTATCCGATAACTACTACTACTGTCGCGGCCAAAACAATCTGGCCCATGTGCCGAAAGCAGAGCCAAGGTTCCCACATAGTCCTGGGATCGTTTTTGAGAATGTGCATGATGTAATTGACATGGTAACTCGGAGCTACTTTTTCGTGGGTCAAACTTTCTTTGGCCAGGATTGTAGTGAGCAAATGTAGGCAGATACTGCATTGTTGTGATCGTGCCTACCCCAACGGCCATTACAATAACACATGATGTAATGCAAACTTCATGATCATACAAATTCATACGATTAAAAGCATATGTCGCCGGTCACGCTTTGCAACATGCTCAGATTCATAACGCCATTCCGCATTCGGTTGAAAGTGACTGGCATCTGCCTTGTGAGAAGAAATTAGTCTCGTATGAAGGACAACATGCCCGCACGTACACAGACACACACACGTGCGTATGCACACCGGCACATACACTTGTGCTGATTTACAAGCACATGCACAGATTATGTTTACACAAACGTACAAATTCGAAAAACACACGTAGACGCACGCACGCACACACACACACACACACACACACACACACACACACACACACACACACACACACACACACACACACACACACACACTCTCTCTCTCTCTCTCTCTCTCTCAATCACACACACACATATTCTTTAAACACTACTTGCCTTCAAGTCTCTCTTGTGATCCTCAATGTCCCGCTGTGTCATTCCCGGTCTGGGTTTGATAACCCTTCTCAGTACCATGAAAAAGATGATGACATTAGCGAGGAGTACCAAGCCGATCGGCACATAGAATGTCACGATGAAAGCAATTTTGTGCTGGGCAATGTTGATCAAACACCTGTACGCGAGAAAGATGGTCATAAGAGAAGTGTAATTTTAAGAACACCCCTATTCCAGAAGTTTGGCTTGCACTTATAGAGTGGTGGTGATTGCTTGGTCATGAACTGGTCAGGCTCACTGGCTCTCGCGCTCATGTGATCTGTGAGGCATATAGGTGAGGTGCATGTCGTACAAAGTACACTCTACTCAGACACTACAGTCATTTTAGTAATCATAATGTGTTGTTGACATAATTTGGTCCATCAATTCATAGTAGTACTTCAAATGAATAGGGTTTTCTTTGGAGCAGACGAGAAAGCAAGATGCCTGCAGATAGCAGCACGAACAGTTCAACAGCAACACTCCGCAGTAGTGTTTGTGCTGGTGTCTGCAAGCGTCGTGTGGTCTCGCCCACTCCTGTCACCACTATGTCGTATGCTGGCGACTTACACGACTTTGCCGGAGTCGGCCGGTTCGTAGGCATCCATGACGGTTGCTGCCATGGTGACGCCGACGATCAATGCCGGAACACCTGTATGGTATTGAGGAGGATAACGCACAATACCAACTATCAGCCATAATTGCTATACACAGAAAAATACACTACCATCTGTGAGTTTGGATTTCAGAAAGCAGCTGAAAGCAAACCGGCTGACCAGAGACCTAGTACCGCATTTCACCGAATATAAGGCACACCCTTTTACACTCTTAACATCAGGGTCAACAAAGGGAGTGCGACATACAATCGAGCATGACTTACTACTGGAGTGAATATATTGAAATGATATGACATGGACCTGAACGTGGGCATGCGTCTTACAATCGAGTGCGACTTAAGATCAAGGAAATACGGTATGCAACAAAGACCAGTTTCCAGCAACTATCCATCATTTGTTCTGGGTATACACATAGAACTTAGCAGAGTACTGGCCGGATACGCGTACAATCTGCCGTTGGATTCTGACCTAGGGTTTCTGAGCCATTGATATACCAAAAGCATAGTAGATATTGCTTGACTGTAGTGCCAAATGGCTATCAAGCAGATTACTTACCTGGAGAATCCTATTCAGCTCACATGGACAAATAGTGCACTCATTCCTAGCCATGACCAATCTGATTCATTCGTCAATACCATACAATCAATCACACTGGTCATGGTAAGGAATGAGTGCACTATTTGTCTATGTGAGCTAAATAGGATTGCCCAGGTACAAGTAATCTGCTTGATAGCCATTTGGCACTACAGTCAAACAATATCTACTATGCTTTTGGTATACTTTAGTGCTGAGCATCAACCGGAACAAATCGAGATCAATGATCGTACATCAAGAGCACTGGAGCGTAAGCACTGGCAACACTCACCCCAGCCGAGCGCAACGCACTTCCACATGAACTTCTTGACCAGCGAGCCGTACACACGCACCAAGCTACTGTAGAGATAGTAGGCTTGTGCGAACGTGAATGCAAAGACGACTAGTAGCAGGTAGTGGGTCAGCACAGCCATGGTCATGCAGCCTTCTCGGTGGCCCGTCACTCTTCCGCCGATTATGAACGACGCCAGGGCAAACAGCCAGGCCACACACAGGTGTAGCAGCAGCCTCATCTGCATTGGCTGACGTAGCTTCCTGCACATGCCGTACGAACACACACAGACACACAGACACACACACACACACACACACACGCACACACACACACACACATACAGACACACAAACACACACACACACATATACAGACACACACACACACACACACACACACATGAGTGTACAGACAAACACGCAGCCACATAGATGGAAAAATACACACCCATGCACACACCCATGCACACCCGTACACACAAACACACACACACACACACGGACACGCGCAAACCCACACGCACACAGAACAACAACACGAGCGATTCACATCTCCACGCTGGCAAGCATATATCTACTATCGGACTACAGTGGACGTCACTTGAGGCTAGTCCATTGCCTGCAGCAAGAGTGTATTGATTCATACAGAGGACTAGTATGTTGGGTTAAAAAAATACCTCTGAAACTAAGAACACTTTCCTGCCGCCCGTGTGGGTTCGTCTCATCGGAATTCTAGTGTACTCATAATGGGCAATTGTTAATGACCGTAATTGGACTTGAAAATACCTGTACATGTAGGTGGGGTAGTTTGAGAAGGGAGATCGACTAGCATTATAGCCCAGAGAAAACCTGTCTAACCCCAAGCTCAGACGGATGTGGGCCAGAAAGTATTGGATAAGTATTTTGTCTATATCACCTACTTGAAGTTGAGCAGCAGAACGATGGCAATGAGCAGTGCCAGCATGGATATGCCACAGCCGATGTAGGTGATGTAGGAGAGCGCTTGAAGGTGAGCACCTTGGGCCTGACGCGTCGGGTCCAAATCCTGCCGAGCAAAAGTCAGACGAGATACTATACATGAGAGCGGCTTACTGAGACGCGGACACCGGAAAGCGATGGCGACCAAAATATATCGTTTGATAAAACCGGAGTACCATAATTATTATGCCACAGTGCAGTGGCATCTTGAATTCACAACATCAGGCATTTTTAAAGAGACATCTACTGTGCGAGATAAAGTCGTACAGGCGTACGTCCAGCAGCATTCGCACCACTACCACCACGGCATGAAGGGCCGTGCAAGTCCAGGGTTCCAGACTTCGTACACATCGGGTCAGATTTCACCAGACACAAGAGTATATCCAGTATAAGGTATGCAGTAAGACCTCGCTTATCCGGTCCTCTTTCATCCGGAACCCTCACCATCCGGAAGAAAATCGTAGGTTACCGATTTAGAGCATATGTCATGCATGCATGTATACAGTATGTGCGTTCGATTATCCGGTTCCATCGTCTATCCGGAAAATTTTATGGAAAACGGATGTGTGCGGTTAAGCGAGGTCTGACTGTATAACTTACCATCAGCATAGCAAAGTGAGTCAGATGAGAGCAGTGACACTGTACCACCGCCTCTCCTGGAAACGTGTCATTGTTGGTACCGTTTCCGACAACCATATGACACCCTTCACGACTCCATCCACCCTGGCCCCCTGCACAGAAAAGAGTACACCGAATAAAAAAGAGTCAACACACACGAATCTGGAGAAATCAGCCAAACTGTGGCTTTGAGTGGCCGATGGTATCTACTCCGAAGTACCATCATGCTAATGTTGCCAGTAAATGTACTTCGGGCATGGAGTATCATTGCCATCGTACTATCGCAGCATCACACGCCCGACAAAAGAAAGCCATGCCATGTAGAGTGCTGTGCACCCGCGATAAGTCGCACACGTGTTGCATGCAAGTCGCGCATGCGTCACACACAAGGTCGCAAGCAAGTCGCACACATTTGCAATCCAGACATGTACTGGTCGTGTGTGCCTAGTTGACAAAGCACTGAACTGAAGCAATGCTCCGGCAACATGTACACACACACACACACACACACACACACACACACACACACACACACACACACACACACACACAGATACAGATACAGATTAGCATTGCCGATAGCGATCTGACTGGTTTACAACAGACTACATAGAGTTCGTACCATTCTTAGCAAAGTCCCAGAAGACACAGACTGGCTTGGTACCATTCTGGACAGAACATAATCAAACACCAACAAAGAGAAACAGGCATGAGCATCGAAGTGAATTTCTGGCAGGAAACATATCAACAAAAAAACAGATTCCAAACAGCACCATACTGCACTGTGATAACCGGAAAAGATCTCACATCACGCATCAAATAGATACTGTTTAATACCTTCTTCAGCCGGAAGTCAAGTCGGACAGTGCCGTCAAACTCTGCCCGTCCTTGCCCTAGCTTTGCTGACACGATGGCCGTGTTGAGTTGCAGGTTCGGTGGAGTAACGGCATCACGGCCATTAGCGGCCGCGGCATCGCGAGGCTGCGTGTCGACAGCGCGATGGAACAGAGATTCGCGCTTGAACACACTGAACTGCACGCGGACATTCTCCTCGGGCCCCTCCACTGCCAGGTTTTCGACATTCTCGAACGAGATTTTCGCAGCAGGCTGGGCGGCAGCATTCCCGTCTGTGTTCCGACGTGCTCGTGGAGAACTGCCATCCTCTATGCCAATCGAGAGAGTCTTCAAGTCGACCGGGCTAATATCCGTCAGTTTTGAGGCAATGTTGTCAGACTCGATGACACGTGTTTCACCTGCTGACAGAAGCGTTGTTGCTCCGTACTCTTCAGCTAAGACCAGCATCCTGGGACAAGGAAACACACGAACAGCAAACACACACATACAGTCAACTTGGCGTATAACTACACTCGGCGGGGCATCGGAAAAGTGTCCTTATTCGCGAAGTGTTGTTATACCCGAAGTCTCATTATATGTATTTCAGTTGGATGGGACTTTGCTCTGGGCATGGACAATTGTCGTTTTATCCGCAGTCGTTACCAATGAAGTTGACTGTACACACACACACACATATATACATGTGCACACACAGATTTCAGCTCTTTGTGTACAGTGAAACGTGTCTGAGACGACCGCTCAAGGGACCTTGAAAACGTGGTCTCAGTTACCGGGTGGTCTCCTTATCCAGGGTCATTTGACTGGAAATAGCATGCCTTGGTCCTGGTTTCAGTGGTCTTCCAGGACAGGTGGTCGCCTTATCCGAGTGGTCGCCTTGACAGGCTCGACTGTATTCCACATCGAGTCTTAGAGATGCACACTCCGAGTTAAGGCATACATGATATTGTACGAACTCGCCACCCTGCCACGATGTAACACTCTTCTGAATTCGCTTACCTGTTAGAGGCGTTCGTCAGAAGATTACCTTCGGCTAGCACAGAGAGATTAGTCTCTGCAATGTTGCTTATCGCTCCCATTAGCCCCTCTCCAACCTGAAGAATCACAACAGTATGGTTCAAGCAACAACAGGATTTTCAGTACGTTCGTGGAAACTGATAACGAGTAAAGAATCAAATCATGCACACAAACACCTGCATGCACATCACGCCCGCACGGGCACGCACACACGCACACACTAACACAGATCCACATGCGGCAAGACGTGTTCAAAGATAGCACATGACTGTGTCCATGCAGAGTAGATATGTATCAAGTACAGATGCCTTGGGCATGGCCGGCATAAGAGGTCAGGAATTGGGTGACAAACGAGCCGAGAATTGGAGAAAGCCACTACTCTCCTATTCGGATTAGACGGAGTATTGAATCTCACATCTACGGCTCTCTTCCCGCTAATCACGGCTGGACTGTGAAGCAATAGGTAGCAGCAAAATTAGACACTGAAGTTAGAAAACGAGATCACCGACCTTATGATCGGAAGTCCGGACATCCACAATGTTGCTGACAACTTTAGCGCCGAGGTCGAGCGTAGTGCCCCCGATCTTGCTGCTGTCGGCTGTGACCCCGTTCATAGCCCCAGACAACTCGCCAGCATTGTCCTCCGTCACAACAAGCTGCGAGTACAGGAGAACGACACGGGGAGAAACAGGTACTGTAAAACCGGAAAGTCTTACGACCAAAAAGTGTAACGTTTTTGTAATTTTGGCATGATAACGTGCAGAAAGTTTAACGATGGCTACGTGGTGCATCTTTACACAGATATCTCGCGATGACGTTTCTTCAAAATTCTATAACGAAAACTAATTGATCGTTAAAACGTTCGACTTTGTGACTTGTTAGACTTTCCGGTTTTACAGTATAATTATTACCGCGAGGAATAGAGATATTGTGAAGAAAATGTTGAAGAGTCTCTGCTTGGATGACAGCTAGAGTCAACTTCGCTTATAACGACACTCGGCGGGGCATCAAAAAGGTGTCCTTATTCGCGAAGTGTCGTTATACCCGAAGTCTCATTATAATGTATTACAGTTGGAAGGGACTTTGCTCTGGGCATGGAAATGCTGTCGTCATTCGCGAATTGTCGTTATATCCGCAGTCGTTATTAGCGAAGTTGACTGTACACCATAGCTCAGTGGCTAGAGCATCGCTGGCCTCAAGCGAAGGTCATGTTTAAGTCCTGGTGATGGTAGTCCATTATTTTCTTCTTCGGACTATTCGCTTTTTCATTCCCTCCAGAAATGAATACTTGAATAGAGATAGAGAAAGAGATAGATATGCAGGTCTATACAAGAACTGATAACAAACACAGTAGGGAGAGAGGAAAAGTATAGTTATAACTCAGAGTTTCGCGTTTTACTCGATATTTAGGTGATTGACATGATGGTAGTAGGGGACACTGAGCAGAAGGAACTCTGCTTGGGGAAAGACTTGCTGGACGGACTAAACTGGATGTGATGCTAATCAGTAGCTCTCCCGCTTGAATTGCTTACAAGTGATGCAGAGTATCACTCCACAGTTGCAAATTTGAGAGTTTTCTGTTCACACGCATATTTTAAAGTCGAGAAATGCCTCCTTGGCCTAACCTACCTGACAAACACAAAACTGGCGAAGACACTATAAGTGCAACCAAGAGTACATGAAAACCAGAGTGTGCAGCTTGGGATCTTTTCTACTATGGGTGTCTGTCACGGCGGAATTCCGTGATTACATCATATTCGGCGCAGATCTGAGGCAGGAGATGGCGTAGTGCCTACTACGGAGCTGCAGTTGTGCAGAAAGATACATGCTTGAATCCTGCTGGTACGCACCACATCACTAAAATGATGTAATCTCGAAATTCCGCCGTGACAGCAACCCATCCGACTTGCACACTCTGGTTCTGATGTACTCTTGGTACAACTACAAAACACTGTATTGGTAATAATCGGATAGCGAGGTTTCATGGCTATGCAGCCCAAGTACGGAACCGTGACGTTGGTGAGCACTTACGTTGAGCAGTGCGTTGAGCGCAGCATCCGGATCCGGGTTGTACTTGCAGTCTGACGTGTCGGCCGTTTCCCAGGCAACGCTCGAGGAGGTCGCGTTGCACACGCACCTGCGCACCGCAACACCACCATACGTGCACTCACGTGTGACCGTGTCGCCAGGGTTGGCTTGCGGCCAGTCCAGCGTTCCACGTACGGTGAGATTTCGTGTGTAGTTGTCTTCGGCTGGGCATACAACTGCACATCAAAAGAAAATGCAAAAAAAGTGAAAAGTAGATTACCATGTGAAGTTCATGTCCGTAGAGAGCACAATTTGCCGAATGCAAAGGGCGGAATACGCAGACAGAAGACTCACAGTTACGAAAAACAACTGCCCGTTCTTCTGTCTGTGTAAAAAGTAGATTATAGTTTCCATAACATTACAGACAAGAAGATGGCCCCGTGCATGATGATACAGTCAACCAACACGACACGCCGAAACATTTGTGCAATCTCGCCAACTGGCACGTCCACCCAGAGAGATGAAAACAATGCCGCCAGAACATCAGTTGCCATCCATGCATGCCCACAGCTATGGATCTACAGTCGTCTCCAACAAAATCCGGCCAATGCTATGGATATATGTACAGTGGCATGGTGCCTGTCGCATGCATACATTTACCATACCATGTTTACAGTCAGTGGAGGGTTTACCATGGTCTACCAGCACAGCACAATGAGACTTACGATTGCAAACGTCGCAGGCTCGTCCCGTGCAGCCGCATTTGCAGTCACACTGCCCCGTACTAGCATTGCATTTCGACGGGTTGCCCCCGGCAACCGTCTTGACACCAGCCAAGTTGCACGCACAGTCTAAGCATGGCTCGTCATCATCACTGCGGTAAGTATTTGCCTGCAAAAAGGAAAAAAAGATTTTTTTTGACGGTTGCCGTGAGAGCCAGTTAGAACCATATTATTTTATTGATGTGCGAAATGCCAACCCTCCCAGCCCCAGCAAGAAGGCATGGATACTGCTAATAAGTAGTGGAAGGGGAGCAGATTATGCCTAACTGAAAAGCCTGCAAGATCATTGGAAACAAAACTCATACCAAAGTGCCAGTACATTTCAACACTAAAATAGCTATGATGTCCACAACTGTTTTAGTTGACAATAATTATGATTGTGGCAAAATGCCGAACTCACGGCCTGTGATCAAAGAGTACATCAAACGGCTCTAATTTGGCTGAATACTGAAAACTGAAGTGAGCATTAGACCATTCAGCACACTGACTAAATCCAGCACATACCAAGCACACCATCACGGCCATCCTATCATTCAGATCTCGCGATAAGATGATGGATATCTCGAGGTGCACAAGCCAAGTAATGTTCATGATATGCATCTGATCATCGTTTACTCCCGTAAGCAAATCAAGGGAATTCAGTGATATGTCTGAAAGATGAGAGCTTGCAACTATCAGAATGTGGATCTGCAATCACTAACTGTGATATTGAAATGTTTTCAGTACACCCAGCTCGCAACACACGAACAGTCCTTGTACAGTAAATTGTCCAAATTTTCACCCAGGAAGGCATCATCAGGGTACCAGCAGGGACATCATCAGGACCTGTTGGTGTGTTGTGAGTTGGGTGAGCTGAAAATATGACAAGGCTACAATGGAGTTTCGAAGTAATAAGTGAAAAAATTATTGAAATGGTCAAAGGTTACCTTGCATAAGTTGCAATCTTTGCCCTCGACTAAGTTGCCCTCCTTGCACAGGCACTCTCCCGTCATCCAGTTGCAGTGGGTCGCGTGCTCATCCTCGACGCATTTACAGCCTGCAAAGCACGTGAACATGCGTACACATACAAAACCAGTTATAAAAATCCAAGCATGCATACAGAGAGATACGGAGAATGAGCCCAGTTGCATGTACTGTTAAGTCGTGTATACAGCCCGCGGCATATACGACTTTTTGGGGAAATTTTGCAGCCTCCATATGAGACATAATTCTATACAAGACCGGTACTTCTTCTATGTGTGTCAACACTAATACACAAAAAAATCGGCGTATGTGCCGGCAGTGTATCTTGAAAATCAGGTTTCTATTCAAAACAGGCTTCTATTCAAAACAAGCGTCTATATGACACAGGCTTTAATACAAGACACCACGGTAGTTGTTGCCGACTAAACTAATCTATCGTGAGTGGGCAAGAATTATGGGTACTCATGCCATATTTGGCTCATCCCAATTCAATACTAGATGGGGCTGAACAAAAAAAGCAGTTTGCGAATACCATGACCAAGCAAATTCAGGAACCCGAAACCTCTTTTCACATCAGACCAGTTTTACGTGTTTCAGTGCAGTTGTTACAACAGCCGGATTGCAATGCGTACCATGGGATGAAACCTACTTGTACTTCGAAGTAATTGCACAAATCTCTATTGGATCTTGTCAAATCAAAACCACAGCTGCGTAGCCGTATTCGTATTCGTTTCAAACCTACGTTTGCAGGTGATTGGCTGGCTGGACCACGTATTCTCGGCAACGCAATGAATGGTCAGGGGCAGCTGCCGCGATCCCTTGTCCAAGTAGTAACCCGAGCGACAGCGAAACGTCACGCTGTCGTAGAGAGCGTACTTGGTGTTTGGTGACAGTTTGGTACTGTTGACATGGTGGCCATGGCCAAGGTTCAACGTGCATGTCGTCTCTGCGCGCACATATCCACAAGCAATCACAAAAAGGCATGAGGCAATATACAGACATGCATAATCGCACGCACGCGCGCACGCACAGCACACATGCATGCACCCACTGATCCTGCAAAGCGCGTACAGAACAGTTTATGTGGGCTGAAGATTTGAGAATAGAACTGCAGATAGAGCACCCCATGTTGTAACACACACTTGAATCCATACATGCACAAACGCCAACATTACGCACCCCCCTCCCCCCCCCCCCCCCCCCCAACACACACTTATACCCATACCTCAAAGTATATGCATAAATGCCCACAATAATCCCTACTCCCCCCCCCCCCCCAACACACACCACACCCACACACACATACACACACACACACACACACACACAAACACACACACACACACATACACACGCACACCCCCCCCCCCCCCCACCCCACCCCCCCCCCCCCCCACACACACACACATGCAACTTACTCTTGCAAGGCTGTACCATCTCAGACCAGCGTCCGCTTGGTAAACACTCGACACTGTGGTTGCCCTGGGAACTGCCGTCAGGTTCATACAGGTGTGACTTGCACGTAAAATGCAGGCGAGTACCAAAAAGGTATGTCTCCTCCTGCCTGGGTGCCACCTGGTGAAGATGGAATTCACTGATATTGGGAGCAGGACAGGTTACAGCTGTGGTGTAGCAAACAGGAAACAAAAGAAGGATTCGTTTGTATGGCAAATTGCCCTACCACCTTCATAAGACCAGCACGTCGATGGATAATTTTGTTGCTAAAATCTCTGCTCAATTATAGGTTTCATGTATATCCTGCTGGTTTGTCTCCTCCTCTGCCTTCTTTGCCTCTTATTTGTATTCTTTTATCTGTTTTACTGCTGTGGTTGGCTTTCACCCTTGTCTCAGTTTTATTGGCCGTCATCATGATATGCCATGAGATAATGATATAAATACAAAAAAAATACAAAAAGAACAGCCCCCCCCCCCCTACCCACACAATGCATCCTTACACTGGACAGGGCCAATTTTTAACACAGCAAGTAGGTCGTCCACTAACAGGCCCTTTTGTAAAGAGCATCTTTTCAGAATGATGCTGTGGTTACTGGGGCAGGATAGGACAGCCATAATTCAAAGTTTATAAAAGACTTCTACGCATATGGATCTTTGCCCAGGATCCTCCAGCCACCTGGGCCGACATGTGTGCGTAGGAGTACGTGAAAAAAACACACAGAATACGGCCACAAGAAAATATTCTGGATTCCTAACTTACCACGTTGGTTGTGTGTGTGTGTGTACGTGTGTGTGCATAATAATTATGTGTGTGTGTATGTGCGTGCATGTGTGGATGGCTGCATGCGTTTGTGTGTGTGTGTGTGTGCGTGTGTGTGTGTGCGTGTGTGTGTATGTGTGGGTGGGTGGGGGGGGGGGGACATGACGGCACAGTTGATTATTTTTATAGCGTTATTTAAATCGTTGTTTCCTCGCCTCCAATCCTTAAAAATAAACTGAAGATTGATCATGACACTGCAGACGGACCTACCGACACACATGGTGGTGTTGGTCACCACCTCTTGGCCATCGGCCATCCAACGTGCAGTTCGGGTGTCGCAGCTGTACTCCGCTGGTCCAAGCATACGATAGCCGAGTTTGCATGCAAAACTGGCCGTTTGTTTACGGTTGGACAGAGTGCTGTCTCCGTTCGCCGGAGTGATTGGATCTCCGCAAGTCACATCTGGATGCAGACACACAGATAACACACGTGTGACACACACAGTTCAAACATTCAGACCATGAGCACTGTACAGACACATACACATACCACACATTGCCCCTTCACTCCCATCAGGGGCGTCGGAAGGTAGTTTAGTGTGGTACGGTCAGCCACCTCAAGCACAGTTTCCTCGTGGGGGGAGGGATGTCTGAGCCGAAAATTTTGGAAATTTCGAGTCCAGATCAGTGTATTTTATTGGGACACGGGGTAGCTGGAGAAAAAAGCGGTACGGTCAATACCGTAGTGACCGTTGCGTGTCCGACACCCCTGCCCATGCCCATGCATTCGCACAGTCAGACACACATTCACATACACACACACTGATATGTGCATACAACTCATACACTTGTGACAACAGTAATAATCGCCACCATCCTACCCGCCACCGCCAATTCTATCAACACTATTATACATACACATAGGCCCCTCGCCACCCCCCCCCCCCCCCCCCACACACACACCACCTGCTCTCCTAGTCCCCCCCCCCCCTCCCACCCCTACCCCCCCCCCCCCAGCTTCCCAAACAAAACATCCAGGCACATCGTCAACTTACAGCCCTGCTGCTGACAGATGGCAGCGGAGAGGAAGGCCCCGCAGTCCGCAATGTCCCATCCAGTATTGCCGACAACCGAACGCAATCGAAGACAGTAGGATCTAGAGTTTGGACTAGTCAGTGCTGGTGTGGTCAAGGGCAATCCAGATGGTGCAAATCCAACCTGGGTCCAAGTGCGGTTGCTGAAAGACCACGTCATTCTGAGAACGTAAGGGGGGGGGGGAACCAGATCCAAAAGAACAGTAAAATAAGACAGTCTCGTTAGCGAAAATGGAGCGACATTGTGTTGAACTGGATGATTGAAACCTACACTGTACAGTACACGTGGACTTGAGTTTGGTACTTGACGGAAATCACCAAAAATGTAAGGGCATTGATATGAGATAAGTTTTTCACAGCATATGCTTCGACTCGTCATTATAAAATGTGTGCGTGTGTGTGTGAGTGTGTGTGTGTGTGTGTGTATGTGTGTGTGTGTGTGTGTGTGTGTGTGTGTGTGTGTGTGTATGTGTGTGTGTATGTATGCATCCTCTATGGGTTTGCGCTAGTGTGTATACAGTTGGCTGTATGTTTCTGCATGTACACGCAGGATAGCATGTGCAAAGCGAGGAAAGCGAGAGGACGTACATTCCAGGTGTTCCGATGTCCGATAAGCCAACCCAAGCGCCGCGGAACGCAGTGTGCCTCGGAACCCGGTTGCCATACTGATCCACAACGTATGGTGTTCCGGCAAACGTTCCGCCGATCAGTCGTTCAAACAGTTGTTCCGTCTAGGACATCACAATGTGCAAAAGAACAAGAACGGGTTTATCGGTGAAGACATCTCCAGGACAGACTACATGGTACAATTGGTGCATCCTCTTGTGGTCGGCAATTGCAAATAATATCCAGCTTGACTTAGTTGAACCAAAATTATTCGGCTGGACATTGTCCACACACACGCAAGCAAACAAATACACACACACACACACACACACACACACACACACACACACACACAAACATGCCCGCAAACAAACACACCTACACACACATATTATCACACATTCACACACACACACACACACACACACAAACACACACACAAACACACACACACATATGCACCAAGTGTCAAGATGAGTCCCATCGCGTACCTCAGCATTGGGTATTTCGGCCAGAGTAGCGTTGTTGCTCTGTGCACACGCACTCCTTGCCGCCAGCCAATCGACGCGCCACATCCTCGCTTCTTGGGAGAGAGATGTGACGATTACTCGATAGCAATTGTTCTGCTGACCAAGCCACCCGCTTGGGCACACTATTCGAGAAATGGAGCAAAGCCATGCAAACAGGAAAAGACAACCTCTCTAAATCGCCGTTGAATTTATATCCGAATTCTCTTGGTTTTAGTAGTTTGAGGAGAAGATGGAAACGGGAAAAGTCTGAAGAAAAATTGACTTGGTTTCTCTGGCATAAGTTGAAACCGAATAGGGAAGCAATTCCACACTGGCGGGACATTTTGTTTAGTCGTGATTCCGAGGTCCACGGCTATTGACCCAATCATCATGGTGGTCAAAGCTTCCCACTATCTTGACCTGACTAGGGTCGCAGGCTGCTCGTCATAGGTTGAGTACTTTCGCAATTCAACTGCAACTCCGGACTGCGGATGAGAATCGGGACATCGCATGCGGCTTTAAAGTGATGATATAAATTTCAGTTGGATTGTCAGGAAATATATCGGATTCAACTTGGATCCACGTCTTACAAAGTGTTGAATGCCACACGGCGATTAGGGGGTGAAATGCAATTCACACGTGGACTCGCTTACCTGAGCACACAGGACCATGTCCGTAATATCTTCCAACCGGCATCCAGATACCGATCCGCTGGTTGCAGCGCAGCTCGCTTGGCCCGTGAATGTATCGATCGCCATAGCAGTGGTATTTTGCGATGGTGGCACCGTTCACAGATTCCAGTGTTACGCGACTCTCGGGTGGTTGCGGCGGTCGTCCACATCTCCCACCTTAGATAATCGCGGACACGCGAGCGGAGAGCACGCAGATATGATTGTGTGAACAAAGGTACAATAGACACGCACACATAGATCCCACCCCAAACAACACTCAATCATACATTTGCAGATATTTCTGCATCCGTGTGGATACTGGATGATTAAAAAAAAGTGTTGCGGCTACCGTAAAAGTCCGTAAATAAGTACCTGCCATCGACATGAAAATGACTTCTCCACTACACACACGTCAGGTCCGAAAGTTAGTTCGTGCCCGAAAGTCGGTACCCACCCGAAAGTTAGTACGGGTGTGGTCACTTAATTCGAAAGTAAATACGTACTTATTTACGGACTTTTACGGTAATTCAACAACTATATGAGCACACAAACTCCCCATACGTTTCAATGCAAGCAGGACTAAATCTTCTACGAGTTTTCCCTCTGCCTAGATAACACCATTCTAGAACTGCAACGGCAAAGCTTCATATCACGTGCCGTGGTGCAGTCCGTTTCACGACCAAACAGCGGAAACTCACCACCAGAAAGTTGTACCCTAGATGTTTTTTTTTGTGTGGGTGCACCCAAATAGGATGGTGTGACGCAGACAATTCCACAGCAGCCACGTAACAAAGTGGACTGCTTTTCTATGAGATGTGAAATTATGCAGTCTACACTTGACCCTGCTGTCGCATGAACCAAGATGAACTGCTACGGAATGAGATAATTTATGAAATAATTCTACAGTCTCAGAGATCTCATAGGTCACAATTGCCCACCAGATGAGGATGTGGGCGTAGGATTGTCCAGTAGAGTGCAAAGCCAACTTAAATACAATTCCTCTTACCTATACCCTGCAATCCAATTCCCCAGTCCTTCCATGAATCTCTGGGTACGAATCCTATTGCAGAAGAAGAGGACAAACAGCAATACACAAATATTAAAACGGATCACAATTAGCTCATCAAAGGAGACATATTTTGGCATATCTTACATCAAACACAGCACCCGCCATTTACAAACGTGAGCGACAGAAGACAGTATACTTCAACCCTGAGTAATACTGTACCATAACCCCACTGCAAAGACTGCCAGCACCATTAAGATCTGACATTAAATGTTAGCTGTAGTAAACACATCCCAGTCAATATAGTTATACACTTCCATCAGAATGGCGTGTGTAGAATGAGCATGTCTCGATCCATATTGGTAATTAAAATGATGATGGGGTGCGGCCTTTACTGAGAGAGGCACACACACATACACAATAAGGTTTCCACTGCATTGTCATGATTCGACCTGCCGAAATGGAATTTTCTGTTTACCCTTGGTACCAGAGAAAATGACAACTGGCAATCTACAGCAATCGCTCCTCTTAGGCCTGCATACGCCTGTTCATGGGCAAGATGGTGGCCTGGATTGGACACTGTCATGTTCAAAGTGCCCTTGGGCATTTACAGCTTTAGTTATTATGACAACAGTCACACATCATGCCAATATTTCTATTGCCCTACATGCCCCCTGTAATCACTTGTGAGCACTCTGGAAGTCATAAAATATCAATCCAAATGCTGTGATGGGTATCGCCTCATGCATGGGCATTTACGTTGCACTGCAAGATCTAGGATAATATTATCGTCAGGTTGAGCTCATTTACCCGGACATTTGGCTATGGGCCCAGTTGTATGGGGAGCCTGGAGTATACAGCCTAGCAGTTGTCAAGGTTTATGGGGTTGGAAACTGGATTATCAACCATTTATTTATTTTTTTAATTTTTTATTTACATCCCTTTCTATCTTTATGGTCTCGATTTGTGCCATTATCTGGACATACCGTAGGCAAGTTGTGCTCAGATGAGCAATGAGTCACCTTTCAGCACTTTGGATGTTAGACATGCTATCAATCATTTTTCTTGATGTCAAGATGTGCATGACGCCAACAAGGTAGAAGATGGCTTCTTACTCTTAGTTGGAGGAGTGTTTTTGAACACAAAATCACCGGAAAAAAATATTTTGGTCTGTGTTGTTTTGCCTATCTTTGAGTGGGCCATCATCCAGATATAGTGAAACCTGTCTAAGACCACCTCTCAAGGGACCTTCAAAATGTGGTCTCTATTGCCAGGTGGTCTCCTTATCCAGGGTCATTTACTGGAAATAGCACCCCTTGGTCCTGAGTTCAGTGGCCTTCTGAGACAGGTGGTCGCCTTGGCAGGTTTTACTGTACATTAATGATGGGTTACACAATCATGGTCTCTTAGCTGATATTCCTTGCCACAGGTGTCAAGGTAAGTCAATGGTGTGGTCACACTGGGCATGCTGGGTCCTTTTGTCTCTGATCTTGATAGAATAGCACCCACTACACTGGCACCACACACGGAAAAATGCGCTCCCTACTGTGTCACCTTTTCCATTGCATAGCATTATTATTACAAATGCACTGTCATTTTCAGGAATTTATGGGGTTATGGTCAAGTGGACCACCGCAGCTAGCACAGCACCAATACACAAATCAGCTTCCACATCACTGTGTTGATTGAGCTGCTCATTGTCATAATTATTCCCTAGCACTCATCAACTAACTTTACTCAATGCATGGGAACAGCTGATCATAACAATCCGTGGTTCTCTGGTTTGTTTATGTGTTTTGTCTGTTGTTATGAAAATCACAATCCTAACACCACAGTGAAACAGAGTTCAAGTAACAGTTCCAGGGGAATAATGTTTAGTCCTGTACTAGTTCCCTTATTGCATTGACAGCGCCCCAGACTCCCATTAGATTTGACAGACCTGTCACAAAAACCATGACCCACATCTGCTGTCGTCCTGGCATTGAATGAAAGGGAAGGGACAGCTGATCATCCTGTCACAGAGGACTGGGGCGAGTAGTGTAACGCGCACACAACACACTTCGAGTCAACAGAGACACTTTTTAGGCGAACCAACAAGGTGTGATTCAGGTGGGCCCGTTACACAACACCCACAAGACATTGTTGTGAGTCTGACAGGCTGCTCCGAACGAGCACCTCACATCCAAACTAACTGAGTTACTTCGCTGTGCAAACGGCGTTTCTTCATTTTTGCTCACCACGCTGCCAAAGACCGATGGAATGTTTATAGTTGCGACTTGGAAATCATTATGTTTCCCGTCATGTGATAGCCAGGAGAGCTTGGTAGAGCATGACAAACAGTTGTACAGACAGCAGCCAAGGTACAGAACGGTGAGGCAGCAGGATCCTTTTCGACACCAACCAGGAAGGAGGTTTGGGCAGAGCGCGTCACGCACTCCACCTCGACCAAGACATGCTGGACACAATGCTGATTTTAGAGTCAAGTGGGACCGTAACACACGATACACACATGCGTACACGACACGACAACTCTTTGCTCCTTCTGACAGGCAGAATTTTGCATCCATTACGCTAAGCACTCACCTTCCGAGCGGCTGCACAGCATCAGCGCAATCAACGCCACGGCGAACAGTTTAGTGTGGCGCAAGTAGTCGCCTTCCATAGCGCACTAATCGGTGAAAACGACAGCGCTCCTCTCCTGCGTTGTACGTAAGTCGTTGGTCAAAATCTCTTTCCTTGGCTGGAAATCACGAGGGCTTGATATTAGTGCGGAGTACTAATGGCGAATTACTATTCTCCCCGGAAGGCGAAATAAGACTCAGTACTGTGAACTACTTACATGTAGGTGGACGACACAGTCGTGACCACTACACACAGACCTGTTCCGCACAAATAATACGACTGCTCAGCTTCTCACTGCCGTGCAAACTAGTAGTAATACAATAGCCGTGTACTATGTCTCAGCGTGTTACAAACTATTTCTGGAACACGTGAGGAACTTCCGTAGTTTCTAGGTGTTTTCACGCGGATCCAGTAGCTGCATGCAGGTAATTCCTGATGGAGAGAAGTGAACAATTCTTCCACTGGGATTACATCTATCTACACAGAAAATAGGCGGTGTAGGTGAAAGCTGTAACAGTGGTACCACAGCACAACCCGACTTGACGACAAGGTAGAGCGACTGGTATTGATGCAGGCGTTGACGCTTCACTGCCTCAACTATTTCACCCCAGCGGGGCAGCTAAACAAGGGAGCGGATCGTTGTGCAAGTGATCACAGGCCGGCGAATCGTTCCTTTCTCCCAGCACAAGAGCGTCATCAGCCGTCGCTGCTCCCGGGAGCAACTGATCTTGGCAGCTCCGCCGCCTCACAAGTGCGCTAGCCAGCTGACCGTCTAGAGAATGCACATAGTGCACTGGCAAGATGTTTTCCCAAGAGGACGTCTCTCTCAAGGACCGTACACGTTGTACGCTGAGTAGCCAGTCAATAGAAGCAGCCTCCGCAGGTCAAGAGGTTCAACGGTCTGGCAAGTGGAACACTTACTACGACGTATCAAGGCTATTTACTACTTACTTGAAAATGGTCACTGGCTCATCGGTAATATACTAATAATGCGTGAACGATTGAAATAATATTCTTCAGAGGACTCCACGGGAGATGGAAATGAGGCTCGAGGCTCATTTGATAATGCAGCGTCCTCGCTTTTCAAAGCGTATTAGGTCTACGCTTGCCATGGAAACTGCCGAATGCCTTGTCACAGCGCAACTGCCGCAAGTGACTTGTCTTCAGTTTAGGTACGGAAGGAGGTCCGATTCAAGCCACGCGATCCGCTGGAGCAGAACGAGTTCCGAAAAACAACACGGCTCACAGACAACACTGCACTGGCGCTTCGAGCGTAGACACCCGAGCTGTTGAGTGTTGGTACAGCTACAGTGCAGCACTGTACCACTACATGTAATGATGTAGACTCTCTACTACATGACTTTGTAGTTGTACTCGAAAACTCAGTTTGTTATCATGGTTATGTGGGAACATAATCATTGCCAGGATGAGACGGTAAGTGTAGCAGGCAATGACGCATGGTGTAACAGACGCCGCACAGAGCTTGTCGTGTGGTCTTTCCTGTGTGAAACAGCTAGTACTGTCAGTACTGAGCTAGCTGCCGGTTTTCAGTCATTACTAATAGTGTAGTTGCCATGAGCCACATTGAATAAAGACTAGTGCATTACGGAGCTCGTCTGTTTGTTGTTGGAGGCGTTCCGAATCTGATGGTTGCCACAGGAGTGCAAGGAAGCCTACCAAGTGGAGGGGTCAGAGAGGGAGGAACAAGAATGATTGAGCTCAGTGTGGACGGTAACCATCAATGATCATTGCATCAAAGGCAGATTTATTGAGCTGATGATGGATGCAGGTGGCGGTGTTCATTTTATGTGACTTGATTCGATTTAGCGAGATTACAGTGTACATAGCGAAGGACCACTGATGTGGAACGAGAGCAAGGGAAGTGAGGAGATGTTTTATAATGATAGGACGACCATGTTCCAGGACCTTTAGCGCAACGGTGGGAACTCAGCTTCGAAGTAGGAGCAAGCTCTGAAGTGGTTCTGAACATAATCCGTCACGTTCGCCACAATTAGAGTAACCTTTCGCAATAATACAACACAATACTAATAATGTGCTAATGATCCACTAAAGCAATTCTGATGATCTGAGCCATACCTCCCGCTTGACAGCAATGAGAATTTCTTGATAACCATGATGATCCCAAGTCAGTCAGGTTGGCAGCTTGCTCTCAGACTTTTGTAATTCCCAGCAGCTAGCTGTCGGAGTTTCAATGACTCGACGAAACTGGGCAGGCAATTGGACTAGTTACGGTGGTACTGAATTCTTATGCAACAATACTCGTTGTACACGTGCACACATAATAATTATTATACATTTTGAAGTACATGTACATGTACATTGTACATCAAAAATGTTGAAATTCACGCTCCAGCCAAAGAACTCATCACCTCTTCCTGGGCCTAATTAACCTCAATGAATGCTTTTCAATTGTTTAGTCTGTAACGGTACATTTCAATGTGGACATCTGAATGAAGTCTTGTGGAGTCAAGTCGGCTAGGGCTTCGCATTTCTGGCGATTGGCGGTATGCAATCGCGACTTGTTTGTACCAGCACTATGCCTATGGTATTCTGTTATAACACATAACGCATGGGACATTGTTATTAGAGGCTTCTCCCCGCAGGCATCGATGCAAATGTAAATGTACATGTATTCCGAGCTGCCGAGCTTTCGCATAAACCAAACGCATGGGACGTACTGAATACATGTACATGTACATGTACATACATGTACATGTACATGTACATTGTACATGTAGTTCAAACTGGCGTCGTCTCTCGACAACTGGACTTGGGGTGTGACGCAAGACAAAGCCTAACTAACTAACTTCCCTTCACTTCACCACTCCATCTGGATCAACACCTGACCTACATCATGTACAGTGTACATGTATTTTATAAGACCAGGAATACTGGTGCGAGAGATTTGAAGAAAAGGTGTCTCCGGGTGCTTGTGGGGCTCCGGTTTACCGATGGGATGGGAAGTGATTCCGATCAGCACAATGCGTTGCTAGCTCGTCCACCTGAAGTGGTCCCACATGAGATAGTCAGTGCTCTCCAGCTGACCGGAGACGCGCAGCGCCCCATGATGTGTTTTCTGCACATCCGATCTTATTATAGTTTAGCGCCGGGAACATACCATGATACGTGTAAATTGTATCTATGTCGGAGGGGAAATGTTGCCGTTAGGCTTCTGGCAAAGTCGACGAAAGTCATTTTTAGAAGTCCTATCGTTCAACACCAACCGTGCTACATGCTCATGTACATGCATAATTGTGCATGATGCCTATCTGCTGGTCATCGGCAAAGGCATGACACCTGGACACATGCACACACAGTAAACTTGCCAAGGCGGCCATTCTGAGAAGTTTAACCCCGTCTTTATGGACCACTAAAACTACATTGTACATGTCTAGCGAGAGTCTTTTCCCGCCAAAATGACCCTGGATAAGGCGACCACTTGCACACGGAGGCCGCATTCGAAAGGTCCATTGAAAGATTTCACATTGTACATAACTGTGCTGATGTTAGATGTAGATATCATGCAACTTGTACACGTGTATCGACTGTCTCTGATAAAGACTAAAGCTCCATTGGCATTGGGGTCAGCGACGACACGACTCTCAGCAAGGAAGGAGGCGTCGTGGTCATTTATATTGACACAGCATTCTCATTACGATGAAGAAAGGAAAAGGACAAAATGTTACGAGTCATGACAAACTGTCCACCAACGTAACCAGGTCTTACACAGCGAGTGCGACAAAATGGCACAAAACTGACAAGGAGTACATTACGATCACACTCACTGAGAGTGAAGTGCCACAGTTAATGTGTGTTGTGGCCAGACGTCTGCTATGCATGGCAGTTCTCTTTGACTATTTTTAAGTAGCCATAGCTGTCGATAAGTGAGTCTACCTTATACATGTACTTGATTAGCTCACATGTACATGTATCAGACAGCATGGTTTGTGTCCAAACCAAATGTCCTACACGTTAGAGAGACTTCCCAACACAATCGTATATATAATATCGTGCAGGCGATCGATAGTTGTTACCCTTGAGAATACTAGCATTTCAAGGAGGGATTCGAATTGTGCTCCGGATAAATTAATGTCTCTCTATGTAGAGAATGGGCAATTTCAGTATTCACTTCGCACATACATACGCATGTACCTGTACATGTACATGTACATTGTACATTGTACAGGTATTGCATTTCCATTCTAATGTCCATGGTATTGGGTATTGTTCCATTTCTGATCAGGAACACGTCTGGTGCAAGTGCCTGATCTCGCTACCCACTTAGAATAAAGAGATTCATGGCTGACAAATAAAACTCACGCGATAATTATTGCAATGAAGTGACAACCCTGCCATGTGCATGTAGGCGGAAATAGGTTGGCGGGCTGCGAAAAGTGCCAGTTGTCATGCGATTGGACGAACGTATTCACTCTTTGAACACTTATTACAAGTGGTTTGTTTTGAGGCTCGATTGGCATGGCAACTTGTTAAACTGACGTCACTGTCAGCCGCCAGTGACGATGCCGGTATGGCCTGCGAGTAGGCACTGTCTTAGGCTAGTAAAGGATGTACTGTAATACTCTGGTCGGGGAGTAGGTATTATACTACTCTCTTCTTGCACGACTTAGTGCTTCATATGCCAGATACAAATATGGGTGATTAGTTCAACCCATTACAGGACAGTGAGAGCAAAACAATAAGAAGTATTATTACATTATATTCACTGGTTCGAGGGAAAGACACATATTACATAATAAAGGTACGTTCGGGCCTGGTTTAAATCAGGCTTTGGAGAATTTATTTTTCATTGCTATCAGGTTCGGCCTCATTTCCTCTGTGCTGCGCTGATGGGTCCACAAAGGACGAAACAGTTCTGTCCGCAGATTGGGTAATGCGTATTATACATGTACATGACTGTACATGTTTGTACATAATGGACATGTCCAATCATGTACTTGTATGACCCATGGGCCATGACCAACTTATGAACCTACATGTACAATCATGTACATTTCCATGCACAGCTGTACATGTACATGTACATGTATGCGTGTGTGGATGTAGTAGTAGTAGTACACGTAGTAGCAGTAGTATTCTATTATTTTCCATGAGAAGCCTCAACAGTGATGCACACAACTCTTCAGACTCAGAGGGCCGATAACAGAGTAGAGGGGTGGGGGGGGGGGTAAAGTGTATACATTGTGCGACTAGGAGGGATTTTCAACGTTCAACTCCTCACACACAGTATGCATGTACATGTACATGTACACTATTAATAATAGTATTATGTACTAGCGGTAGGTCACGTGGCCAAGGCTGGCTTACTTGCTATGCACTACTAGTATGTAAAAGGATTGTGGCACATATCGCACAAACCAGAAGAAGTCTCTAGTGTATCGTCCATTTTTATCTGTGCACTCACCGGCGTAACTACATGTACATGACGATGTAGCGGTTAGTGGCGACCAATAAGACTAGCATGCTACTGCACTTTGGTATTCGTGAATTAGCACACATGCCCATGCCATGGAGACTTGATCACACAACCGTGCGTGTGAGCATCACGTGTCTGCGCATGCACGTACATGTATGCTGAGTGCTAAAATTCCGGTGATTGTATTATTTACTTAAAAGTTTTTGCGCCTCACTGACAGGCTTTCCAGGCCAGAAAAACTCAAAATTCCGGCATAGTGCCACGGTATGCGAGCCACCCAGGAGCCAAGAAATGCATTTACAATTTTTTTCACATTTTCGTGCCCATTCTGTTCGTGCGCGGGATCCAAACCTGAAACAAGTCCAGAAGCAGACATGGGTGGTGGGATAGGGCCCATCAACGTGGCCCTTGAACCTGTCACAACGGCAGGAGTGGGCGTTCTCTTACAGACTTCCACAGACACAAGTCAATTTTTGAATTTGTTTAGGTTTAGCACGTGCTACGAGGTCGTACCTTAGATACAACATCCAGTGCTGGGACCTCCACAGCAAGCCATTTCCCCAGTGCTGCACACCAAATCCAGGATACCCTCAAAAATCGGCAAAGACTACCACTCACGTTCCACTACTGCCTAGTACTGACTCCTACCTGACTTCTTGACACGACTCAAAGTCAAACTTGCCAAAGTCACTAAATCAACGTCAACTACAATAATCAAGCCACATACATGTATCTGCAACGTCACGAGGGTGCTGTCAAACGTCCTGCTTCGCCAGCCGCCGTGCAGCCCAAAAAGTGATTTTTTGAACTTTTAAAAACACTTCCGCTTGTTTTTATGATACGACAAGTTGCGCATGGTCTGCTCAGATACAAATACAGTGTTGCCAAAAATGACAGCACCCAACAAAAAAATCTTTCCTTGCAAGGGCACATTTTCAGAGATTTTGCAGCTATTCATGCTCTTTCAACTAATGTAGCACTCGATATGAATTTTCAAATTCGACTTTTCAGGGCTTTTACGACCAGTCTGCCCCTTAAGACTATTCTGCTTTACTTTAGCTGTGCTTAACACTAGAGAGGTCGGCCTTGCTACATATGAATTACATGTACATTTACATTGCAGTATGTACATGTACATGTATATCATGAGTTGAGAATAGACCGTTGAAATGGCACAACAGTGATGTTAAGTATTCCTCTGTAAGCGCACCCCGCCTCCCAGCCCAGGAGTCATAAGATGAGACGAACTAGAGAAAAATGGTTTGAAGGATTTCCTCGCATTGTCTCTCTTCCTCTATATATCTCTCTGTTTTGTGTGCGTTTGTGTGCGTTCAAGTCTCTATATCCCTTTCTCTCTCTCTCTCTCTCTCTATCTATCTATCTATCTATCTATCTATCTATCTATCTATCTATCTATCTATCTATCTATCTATCTATCTATCTATCTATCTATCTATCTATCTCTCTCTCTCTCCCTCTCTCTATCTCTCCCTCTCTCTCTCTCTCTCTCTCTCTCTCTCTCTCTCTCTCTCTCTCTCTCTCTCTCTCTCTCTCTCTCTCTCTCTCTCTCTCTCTCTCTCTCTCTCTCTCTCTCTCTCTCTCTCTCTCTTTCTCTCTCTGAAGTTCTCTCTCTGAAGTTCTCTCTCCTTTTTCTTTATCGGTCTATGTCTCTGCAATGATAGTCCCTTCTCCTTCCTAATTGAGCTAGATTTTCTTCTAAGTCGCTCTCTCTCTCTCTCTCTCTCTCTCTCTCTCTTTCTCTCTCTCTCTCTCTCTCTCTCTCTCACTCTCTCTCTCTGCGTCTGTCTCTGTCTCCGTCTCTCTCTACTTATCTATCTCTTCGCATACTTTATGTTCCTCCCGAGGATACACATCTCAAGATTACACGCAAGGTTTCCAGCGATGGACACCCGAGAAATTTGTTGTTGCTCCGAGTTTCGTGCGAGAAGCACTCTTGAAACAACTCCATAATGACACTCACAGTATACAAAACCGAATAAATATTCTACAATGGGTTGAAATATGGAATGATTTCAGTACTAGGCCTAAGAAGCCGTGTCAATGGATTGAGTGCTTCTCGCACGAAACTCGGACTAGGAGCAAATTTCTCGGCTGTCCATCGCTTGACGACTTGTGTGTCATTGCTCCATCTTTGATGTTGTGCACCCTTTTCGTAGTTGTGGGACCTGATCTTGCTCTACCTCAAGATTACATGTTTATACATACATAATAATATTATATTGTTGGTTGGATTTGGTTCACGATCTACAATGCATTATATCGCATCAACATGCGCATCATCCAGTGTGACCTATGGGTAGCCTACGAATTTGAAGTAAAGAGAGTAACATGGCTGTTACTCTGAGTAAAGTACTCTCGGTCGTGGGGAACTGGGAAGTCAAACCTCCTAGCCTAGACCGTCCACATGTTCACCTTATATACATGTCATGCTGTGCTTCATGAAATTCCAGCCTGGTCGTTCTTCGGCGCTCCGTTCTTCGGCGCCCGACAGTACTGTCAGGGATCTAGGGGCTTCTCTTCAACCTTTTAAAAACGGTATGTGGACGAGAACGAGGAACGGGGGATGAGGGAGGGAATTGAAGTTGTGAACCACACACAAACGTATTATTTGTTACAGCTTACTACACTCGAGAAACATACCTGATGTCCTCGATGCGAGTGGCAAGACCAGCAGTAGCAGTTGAAGCATCACGAAGCCACACCGTTCCCGATAGTCTGCAATGCTACTACGTCCATGCATCACTGAGGGCTCTGAAATGAAAAGGAGTTGGTGACCGAATCTGAACTCTTACACACTCTTATTGTCAGAATCTGAAAACTTCTAATCGCCTGGATGAGTTTCAGGGTTAGGAGGAGAGATAAATATAACGGTAAGGTTGTGAAGATCTTGCCAAAATGTCTAATCGTTTCGTGCAACGCGATCAATGAAGGTGTTCGTCACTACTCTTTTCAGAGAGTCCTTCTACCGATTCGTGTACATGTACATGAACATCATTCTGTACATATGTGTGCAGTCCGATGCATGGACGAGCGTGAGACTCTGAGAGACACGACTTGTGGTGCCTGACGGTTGCCTGCGCGTATGAACACGCTGTCAACGACAGCGGTATGCATGGGAGCGATAAGCCAAGAAGAAGGAGTAAGACATAGTATACATGTAGGCCTAAAGGTGATGGGTGCTGTCAAAACTGTTGTGTCTATTCTGGAACAACAGATGGAACGCTCAGCTATGTATAGTTCTGATTGTCCGAAGATTAGTCAATAACCATGAGGCACGGAGTAACATCAAGCAGGTAGCCTTCTTCCCCTTCTCACATGTGCATAGTCATTGCCTTTCGACTCTTTGCCGTTGGTTGCCGTGGGATGGAGGTTCTGGGGCTCCCGTCGCCGACGACAGGCTGCGGCGAATGTTGACAGGTCGATGATGGAGAGTCCACGAACTCGTCTCCGCTTTTGTCCGATGATACTATGGTGAGTGTGCGAGGCCTGTCCCCGCATTGGTCCCTTGACACTTAGCGTTGGTTGTCGAAAAAAATGCTGCGCTCTCAGAACGAGTCTAAATTTGCAGACCCTGGTTCGTCCACATTGTCTTCCTGAAGTGTACAATACATGAAACTGTTATACGGTAATCTACTTGTATGATAACAACTCTCCGCACGGAACGAGATGGCCGGTTTACTACGGAGGATAGTTGTTCATTTTAATTTATATTTTAAACAGTAACCAGACCCATGAAAAAAAGCAATTTATCGGAACATAATATAGTAAATGTACAAGAACGGATAAGGCACCCTTATGTACTACGACATAAATAGCTAATTATCCACATGTCCTTTGCGTCTCTGTGTTTTTCACTGTTTTTGACATTATCTTTCTTTACGGAGTTGTTGTTGCTGTTCATTTTGCTACTCTTTCTTTTTCCCTCCCCTTACTTTTATTTATCGCCGTGGTTGGCAATCAACCACTCTCTTAACATTGGCCGGTGTTTCCACCGAGTCTTGAGATGTTGTAATAAATAAAATAAAATAAATAGAATCACTTTGAAAATGCAGCTGCATTAAATTTTACACCTACCACGTTCAGCACACATGTAGAATCCAAACAGTTGCTTGCAACATCACGATTACTATGCTGCTTCATGATCGTTCAGTGTGAAACTCGGAGATGCGACCAACCCTTCAGACTTCTACATGTATGTTGGACAGCTCTACATGTACATGTACATGCGGTTAGCGAGCACTGTTTGTCCAATAGACTACTGTATTTGAATAGATTTTTATACAAGTATTTCGAAGTAGTTTAGTGGCTTTGTTTGATGATACATGTACATGTACATGTACATGTATGTGCAATTCATTTTGCCCTTGCAAGAGGCTTGGTTACTGCACACTGTACTCTACAAAAGCAGTTTTTGGTGTAAGTCTGGTGGTTGCAGTTGTTGCATGCATCTCGAACATTATTTTAGTCGATTCACACGCTTCTCACAGGATATGTTGAGGATAGACATCTTCTTTCTACTGGTACTATAGTGCATGCACGGCGTGTTGTCGGTATATGCGGATAATGCCGGCAGAAAAATTAGGAGAATTCGGTGCTTTTTCTGGTAAGTTTCATGCACGTTCAGTATGTGGATAAGGAAATGGAGCAGAATTCTACGAATTGCCCGCCATAAGGTTTGTATGGTTCTGCCATTTTCACTGCTTTTCGAGCAGAATCTGCCACCTTTTCGAGCATTATCCCCACACCCCTAGCGTGTTGACAGGGAGAGGCGGGTCATTTGACCAAATACGACCAAAATAGTGTCATTCATCAGTCCGCAGGGACGCTCACGATGCCATCATGCTCTGGAACCGTAGTAGGCAGGCGGGTTGATCAAACTTCCAAGTCATGTATGGTAGGTCGGTTGACAGGTCCTGCGAGACCTAGGGAGCGAATGTTTTACAAGCTGACTCCATTCAGACCCAACTGATATCTGAAATACAAATACCAGATTGGTTTATGTGTGGTCCACATGGTACAAACTTGGCCATAGAAACTGTGCACGAATTCCCCGTTGCCCACATTGAAGATGCCACGTGTGTGAGTAGACAGGCGTTCTTCCATTTACATGTTCATAATTATTACCACTTTGATCTGGTCTGCCAGCCGCCCATTCAAACCTTTCTTTCCACAGGCTAAATCAAGTTTGTTTCTCGGCACTAGAAATACGGCGTACGAGCTACATGCACTATGCAATGGTGTTTGTGCACTTTTTTTAGCACTTTTTACACCAAGGCCAGTGTTCGGATGGGCCCAATAGACAAGTTCGCCAAAGATTGTCTGGGTTCGTGTCACGGGGCAAGGTGGAAATCGCGGATCACGGATCGCGGAACTTGATCGTGATTTTCACTGACAAGCAGTCATACTACTTGTAGTTGTCGAAAGTTTGTTTTATTTCCTGAGATGTCTTGTTCACGGGACAGATGGCTGACGACCTTCCCATCGCATCCTGGACCCTGGCTGAGCTGAAAGCCTTCCTGAGGAAGCGTGGTGCCTTTTTATCCGGCAAGAAAGCCGAACTTTTGGAACGGTAAGTAAAAACATATTTTGTCAAATAGGTTTTGAGAAAGTACGTCTGATTTTTTCCTCTGTTCTCTTCTTCCCCTGGCCAGTGCCGTGTTCTACAAGAACAACCCTGATGCCCCGCGAACTCGGTCATCAGTCACCAACGCTGACTCTCGTGCTGTGGCAGCGGAGGAGACAGCCAAAGCACCTTGCTTCCCCACGTCAGGCTGGTCGCACGATCCGTCCAGTTTTCCTGCAGTGACGACGTCGACTTTCATTGAGCACATGCTGAAATCTGGGAAATCGGTGCAGTGTGGAGGAGATGATGCAGGAGTGGTGATGGTTCGGCGGCCGTTGGAGAGAGGCAATGAGTTCTTCTTCGGAGGATACGTGCATGATGTCTCTGTGGCCACTAGTGACATGAACTCGTTTGTTGTTGGCAAGTGCTGGGCGTCACAGCACAAAACGACAAAGTACTGTCAGAAGCTCGTCCTTGCTACAGCCCCGGAGTCCACCAGTGCTACAGTAACGTATGCCACGTGTGAGGGATGTGTGGCTGGCGTCGATGGAGGCCTCTGCTCTCATGTGTTTGCCCTCTTGATGGTGCTGGAAAAGTACCGCTGCACTGAGGAGGCAAGGTCCGTCACGTCATTGCCATGCAGCTGGGGTCCCAGACAACGAGACATTGAACCCAAGCCCATCATGGACACTGTTGTCGAGAGGGCGTCCATGGAGAGGAAGGGCCCACCTGTCAAATGTTCCCTCTACGAGAGCAGGGAGCGAGAGCTGCGGACACCGTCAGTAGAGAATGTCAGCCGCTTCCGTGACTTGTTGCCTGATGGTTGTGGCATGAAGCAGCTGTTGCCACGGCAGTTTTCTACTGTGACAAGCTTGTATGGACCGACACCTCGTGGCAGTCCATTGGGTTACCAAAGGAATCCTGATCGCGCCCCAGTCGCTCCTCAATCACTGCCGGCGTCGACTAGGAAGAAACGGTTTCCGCCACTACCACTGCCTGCTCGAAAAGAACCCACTTCGATGGGACTTGTTTGGCCATGCAGCTTGCAGGATGCACAGGCGTTGGAACGCCGAACCATCGGCCAGTCGTCGAACAAGGAGTGGATGGATCGCCATATGTACACCCTTACTGCATCCAACTTCCGACGCATTGTGCACTGTAAGACTGGCCAGGAAAAGCTCCTGACGTCTCTATTCAACCAGCGCTCTTTGTCACACATTCCTGCCATCCGTCATGGGAAACAGCATGAGCGTGATGCTGTTGCCAAGTATCAGTCTGTCAAGAGTGCCGGTGGCCAGCCAGTTTCGGTACGAGATTGTGGTCTTGCAGTGGACCCAATGTACCAGTACATCGGTGCTTCCCCTGACGCAATGGTGTTCGACCGGTCTGCGCAACCTCCGTATGGGCTGTTGGAAGTCAAATGCCCGTACGCAGCCTTTGAAAAGTCTCTGACTGTGGCTGAAGCTACTGCCCAGGACAGCAACTTCTGTTTGGTAGAAGAGGATGGTCAACTGAAACTCAGCAGACAGCATCCATACTATACGCAAGTACAAGGTCAGCTGGGTGTATGTCAACTGCCCTGGTGTGATTTTTTTGTTTGGTTGGGACAGAGCTTTCACTTGGAGCGTATCTATGCTGACTTTGATCTTTATAGCAGCTCCATTTTGCCGGCACTCACTGCGTTTTATGCTGTGCATGCTTTGCCGTACTTGCGCAAGCTGGAACGACCAGTACCGCCTGATGTTCCAAGTAGTGCTCCTGTTCCTCCTGCTGCTCCTGCTGCTGCTCCTGCTGCTGCTCTTGCTGCTGCTCCTGCTGCTGCTCCTGCTGCTGCTCCTGCTGCTGCAAGATCCGCTGTGTCCCCCTGGTCGCAATATGAAATGTTGCTTCCCCCCGACTTATCACAGGCGACTATTGATGGTAGGAACGGCAGCAATGCTTGCACGATTATCTCTGCTGTGTTTATTCGCAACAGTCTTGAGGCTGCTAGTGCTGATGGTGCTGTCGATACCAGTGCTGCTGCCATGTGTGAAGCTATGCGTTCAGGCAACAGTATTTATGATTCTCTGCACACCAACGAACTCCTTTCATGTGATGAAGTGTTAGCACTCCAGCCAAGTGTAGGAGTAGATATGTGTGCTGAGTCATTTGTCCGACCTGCTGCTCTGGACACAATGGTGTCGTTGATGTCAACTCGCTCGCAGAATGTGGCTTCTTTTGCATATGGTGCTGTGTTTGTTGTCACTCCATACTCAATCTCTCTGTGTTCTTGCCAGGGGCGTTTCATCCTCTTTGACTCTCATTGCCATGGGGGTAGTGGTGCACTTCTTGCAGATGTGCCTACTTCTGAGGCGGCTGATTATCTCGAGTACTTTTTTTCACACTACTACCCTCGGCTGAACTTCAATGCTGCTGCTGCTGGTAACCCTGCAGCCCACGTAACATTTTTAGACTTGCGACAGTCTGCTTGTGCAACCTAGCTTGCTCCACTGGCTCGCTTGTTCTCTCCCACGTACTTCTTGGTCATTCCACTCCTGTACATAAATCTTTGTGCTGATTATCCTAACAACATGCTGCAACCTCATCCTGGCAGTATCTTCGCTTGTATATATCTTGACTTTGAGGGAAAGACATATTATATATTTATTTATTTTTAAACTCTCCTTGTCTTTTGACGCTTGTGGGTAGTGATGAACCCGAGACCATTGGTCGGGGGAGCTACTCTTGCCGCGCCCCACTCTTGTCCAATATGTCACTGCTTGCTCAACATTGGCCCGCTGTGCAGCATCTGCAGGTTCTGTGGTACACTGTTAAATATACTGTGTCAAATAATATTGTGAAGAAGGGCTGAGACTTCCTGCAGCTTCATCTCTGAAATATATTCCCATAGCGCTGTATATCCGAACCAGTATTTAGGTACTTCAAACGAAGTAATCTGTGCTGTCATCAAACACCCGAGCACAAACGCAGACCCGCCCCATTGCGGAAGCAATGATAGCGAACAGCTACGTTTAACATAGCAACTTGTGAAATCTGTGTTGTCATCAAACATACGCACCCACGAGCACACACACACAGACCCGACCCATCGCGGAAGCCATGAAAGCGAACAGATACGTTAAACATAGTAACTTGTGCTGCCATTCAACAGAGTTAATTTACAACGTTTCGGCACTTGGCCATCATCAGGCTGCAGGGGGATGCGAACTGAGGGTGCATGTCAAATATTATGGTGTTACACAGGGTGTAGCTACAAAGATGATGCGAGTTGCCATTGTGCTCTGCGAAGTGAGTGAAGTGAGTAAAGAAATATGGTTGCAACATACGTGGACAATGCTGTAACCTACTTAGGAGGATCGTGTTAGTTCAGATGGCAGCAAAAGTGGGCAATGCAAAACTAGATCAGCAGTGCAACGTCTAGCTCCTTACTCCACAATCAGTGGGCCAGAGAGGTTGCTCAACAAACAGCAGATTGTCCAGACCTGGCTGATGGAAGCAAACTGCACCAACGGTATATCTTTGTCGAAGATGTGAAATCTTGACTTGACTCTGCCGATGGCGCGCTCGACATGAATACGAACACTGGCAATTTTTTGTGTCTTGACAACATCTTCCTTGGGCATGAACGCTCTTGAGCCCTTGAACGGAGGAATGTTTAAGATGAGCCCAGGCTTAACAAGCAAGTCCTGGATTGCGAAGCCACGATCTGCCATCACGCGCTTGCCTGGTGGCACAGAGTCGAGCAGTGGAATGATACCGCTCTCGACCACAAGCTGCTTGTCGCTGATACAGCCAGTGAAGAGTTGGCTAATAAACGTGAAAGTACCATTTGGTGCGATTCCAACAAGACCCTTAACCGTTGTATGGGACTTGTACGACGAATAGAGCTGTGACTGTAATGAGAGTGAGCTAGGAATCTCGCAGCGTAGCTCTGTAGCATCTAGGATGATGAAGGTGTCCGGAAATGATTGTTTAAACGATTGCGGCATTGACTTTGCAACATCATCCCACTCCGGCCAGATAGGCATCATCGCAAGACGAAGGTAGAGGAAACTGATCCACATCTTCAGTATCGATGAAACAGCACTCTCACTAACACCAAAGCTATAAGCCAACTCTTCTTGAAGTCGGCCGAGGCGAAGACGCATGAGCGTGAGTAGTAGCTGATCTTCTTGTGACAGGATAGAGACACGGCCACTGCCACGAGCTATTTTCCGGCCTTCTTGCTCTCTTGCTGCTGATTTTTCACTCAAGATTGCACCTGGGCGTACTTGCAGGTAGGACCACAGACTTTTCCATGCCCCATTATTTAGTCCAGTGAGAAACTCCATCTCCTCCTCGTTGTCACATATATTGGCATAACGGAAGAGCTGTGAGCGAAGGTGAGTGACTTCAGCTTTCAAACTTTCAACTTCAGCTTCCAACTCCCTCACCTTAGATTTCTTCGTTCGTAGCTCTCCTTGGAGCTTGAACTCCACAGCCGAAACGCCTGGCTTTGGCAGCTGCTTTTGGGCTTCCAGCTCAGCTGCACGAGCTGCACCAACAGCTAACCGTTCTGCGCGTGACAGCCTGGGGGTCGGAGGCGGAGGTCGGAAAGAAAACAAGGACGGCACAGCCCCTTTCTTCACTCGACGACATGGTTTCTTCGCCCCTGGCTGGTGTACAGACACAGTCGGGTAGAAACTTTCAGGTGTAAAATGTTCGCTGCAAACGACAGTATTGGCAGAAACTACGAAGTGTTCCCGCTTCACAGCCTGTATCCACTTTGCGCGAGTGTCAGGATCGGCAGGGAGGACATGAAACGATATGTCAGGCCTCTTGGAACGGCGGTTAGAACAGTCGAACACACAGCAGTGATCCTCAGCAGGCATTCCAATAAACACAACTGAACTCGAGAGAACAAACATTTGATTTCGTACAGGAAAAATTTGAAATGTCGATCCCACGCTGCAGGTCAGAGCGCCCCCTGCCCCGTCTCGAACCCAGACAATCTTTGGCGAACTTGTCTATTGGCCAAGGGAGTGGCCCCTACGCACTAGTGACAGTTTGTGGGCATTATTTATATTCTGCATACCTGGCTCCCTGTCTTATGTCCATGTTGCCTCTTTCACCTTTCCTCCCCATTTCTTTGCATATGTGTTGTGCAAGTGCGTCCGAGGTACATGTACATGTACTTCATGTAGTAAAACAAGCAAGGTATCAGTAGCACAGTACAGTTAAATGTTCTAACGGTGTATCGCCAACACCTGCCTCTCTGGAGGCGTGGGTTCGAATCCCACCGCTGCCACCAATGTAATGGGTAGCCGAGTGGTAGGCGCGGTGAAATCAACAAGAATTACTTTTATTCTACTTTCAGGTACACACCTGAGATATAATCGTTCGTGAAAGAAGAAGCGGCAAAATAAATAACTTTCTCTCCGGTGCTCACCTAGAGGCTGAATCCTTATTCTTCGAGTTAGCTTTCATTGCTATCCAATCTAATCTAATCTAATCTTCATCAAAACAGAAATGCGCAGCCGCTTTTATGCAGCAGACGACGTACGCTTACATACGGAGATACACTAAATATACATCAGGCAAGCTCCGTATTAGTTCCGTACTGCTTCCGTATTGGCGGGCAGGGATACTACAGTAGTAAAAGAGTTGGTGGACAATCCGTTGATTATATTCACTCTCAATGTAATATCAAAAAAGTAGTCTTTCTAGACCAAGGAGTGGTATATTTGATAAAAATTAATAACATATAGAATATTTACGATACCTCTCCAGACGTTTTGTTGTTGTTGGATAAAGAATGATTCTTTATCCACTGACGATGTTGTTCAGAACAACAAAACGTCTGGAGAAGTATCGTAAATATTGCTATTGTTATTAAATTTTATCAAATATACCACTCTTTGGTGTAGAAAGAATACTTTTTCGATAGTATTCGTACTACACATGCACCTGCACATACAGTGAAACTTGTTAAGGCGACACTCGGATAAAGCGACCACCTGTCCTGGAAGACCACAAGAACCAGGACCAAGGGGTGATATTTGCAGTCAATTGACCCGAGATAAGGAGACCACATGGTAAAAGAGACCACATCTTGAAGGTCCCTTGAGGGGTCGTTTTAGACTGGTTTCATTGTACATGTAGATATAGAACAGCCGACGGAGACAAAAGACTGTACTTCTAGTGGCTGTGTAGCTGTAACGCCAAGTAGGTTAACGCATTTCAGGGATCATCCGACAGCAGAATTTAGCATTCACACGAGTCATGAGACAGCAGAATTGGGCGTTCACACGGGTGGTTTAGTCACTCGTAACGGATACGAGAACGTGGGTGATACACGTAAAGTTAGTTCATGCAATGGACCCACGTTCGCAAGTTTGTTTTTTGTCACCCGGAACAAACAACAGCATGAAGCGAAAAGCCCAAACTTGGTCAAAGACGACGCTTCGAAGCTCATCGAATAATTCCATGGATTTCGTGTTTCGAAAACTTCTTCCGCTGAGCACCCCCACAGCTTGCACAATGCGCTCCATTCTGAGTTTCATCCACGTTCTGGCGGCCTTGTTTGTACATGTACATTTACCTAAATTAATGTCATCAGACCAGGTGTGTTGATTACTCTCTATACATGTAGCTACCAGAACTATTTCCAAGTGTGTTTACAGGGTACGTATTGTGATATGGCAGGCAGCTCCCCCCCCCCCTTGGGGCCCTGCGGCTGCGCCAATCCCCACTTCCAAGATACAGCTGTTAGGCTAAAGATCGACTTCCATTTCACCAGACCACAGTCTTAAGATCCTTCCATTTCCTGAGAGCATGTGATACGGTTAGCAGAAGATCGATGGCTTGTCGTTACAGCGGAAGCAACTCAACGTGAACAGCCATCGACTCTTGACAACAAGTGTGTGCTTTTCTGTGTACTTGTACATGTACGTGTATTTGACGTTTGTAACAAAAGCCAACTGACAACCTAAAATCGGTATAAATGTATTAAATGTATTTTGTGAATGGGTGTTGCCTCATGATTGCGAGAGCATGAAAATTCAAGTCGCAGCAAACAAGCCTTGATTGTCATTGTTGTTCTGTTCAGCATTACTGTTGTGCTCTGACAGCTCGCCGTCCAACCTCGTCACCTCCATGCAGACCGGCATTAACTCCACCATAGCATGGATGGAAGCTTGGAAGCTGAGGCCCAACATCGCGAAGACCGAAGCAATGTTCATTAGCCCATCGCCGCCCACTCAGCCGTTGCACTTTCCAGGAGCCAATGCTAACGTTAAAATTGTTCATGAACACAAACACCTTGGTGTAGTATTCGACAGCCATATGTCCTTGTTCCCACAGGTCCAGTCAGTATGCAAGCGAGCTAGCTCCTCCCTTGGCATGTTGCAACCTCACTGCCACCATTTAAATGACCATTGCCGAAAATTGTTCTTTACGTCGTACATTCTACCTATATTTGATTACTGGGACACAGCGTGGTGTGGTCTGTGTCAGGCCGTTGTTCAAACTCTGGAAATACACCAGCGTCTGCTTCTAAAAAAATCCTGTTTCGCAAAGATCAAACATTCTCCTCCCAACGTCTCTACACTACAGTTTAGCCTCAGTATCTCCCCTCTTAGAGCGACACCAGCACCATCTTTTCATCCTTGTACACATGATCTTATTAGACCTGGCTCCCAAACACTTTACTAAGTATAACTGGTTTGTGTCCACCAGATCAACACGTCATTCCTTCTCATTACCCCGTGCCAATACCTTCCTGTTTCTGAAATCTCCTATCTTCTCTGCGTACACTTCTCTGGTCTTCCCTGCCAACTAGCCTTAAAGCATGCACAGACATTAAGGAGTTCAAGCTTCAGCTTCTTCGTCCTAAATAATCTAACCATTTTCGTCATGCCTCCCCTTGCAGTACTCTCTTTGTTTCTCTCCTTATTATTCAGTTCGCCGTGGTTGGTTACCACCCGACTTCTCATATATATTGGCAGTCTTCTGACGAGGCAGGAGATGTTGAATTAATAATAATAATAATAGTTGTCAGTTTGAGCACTCTGGCAAGGTACGTTCGGGCCTGATTGGAAATTTTTATTTTCATTGCTATCAGGTTCGGCCTCATTTTCTCTGTGCTGCGCTGATGAGTTCAAAAAGAACGAAACAGCATGCTGTCCGCAGATTGAGTAATAATAAAAATAATAATTTGGAAAGGATTGGGAGAACTTCATATTCAAGGATCAGTCGGGGAAGTGAACTGCCTGAAAAGAGAAAAAAACGCCAGACCCACCAGGACTCGAACCTGGGACCCTGCTTGTCATGAGCAATGCTCTAACCACTGAGCTATGGGACCAGGCTGAACCTAGAAGGCGCTGACAAGTTTTTCACTCCAAAGGCAGCTCACAACACGTGCCACACATACTGATGGCACTTGGGTCTTTTTCCCTCCCCCAGGGGACCAACCACGGTCAGTTTCTGGAAACTACCAGAGGTGAAAGAAAGTGATTAAATTTGGAAAGGATTGGGAGAACTTCAGGGAAAAAGACCCAAGTGCCATCAGTATGTGTGGCACGTGTTGTGAGCTGCCTTTGGAGTGAAAAACTTGTCAGCGCCTTCTAGGTTCAGCCTGGTCCCATACCTCAGTGGTTAGAGCATTGCTCATGACAAGCTGGGTCCCAGGTTCGAGTACTGGTGGGGCTGGCGTTTTTTTCTCTTTTCAGGCAGTTCACTTCCCCGACTGATCCTTGAATAATAATAATACAGTCGTCCCTCTCTAATCCGGCACTTTATAATCCAGCACCCTCGATAAACCAGCACAATTTTCAGTAGCCAAAATGTCCTCTCCATGCACATTGCAGCAGTAAATCAGATTTGTTAATCCAGCACCCTCCCTAATCCAGCAGATTTTCGTGGCACAAATGGTGCCGGATTATAGAGGGACCACTGTAATAATAATGGTTGATAAATATGGTAGTAAAGACACACCTGGCAATATGGTGGTAAACACACGCCTGCCCACACACGCTCTCTAGGCTGCAAAGTTCTGGCACAGAGCTCTCCTTCTCACCACCACCACCATCAGTTCGCGCCTGGCGCCTGGTCGATGCATGGCTGGCGGTATCCGGCATAGCAGGCTGGTAAATCAAGTAGCGCATGGCACATAGAAGATGACACAGCAACGACATAGCTCGATTGCGACGTACGTTTCGTCCCCGCTGGACTCATCAGGCAATCTTCTTCTTGGATGTTTTCATACGGAGCTTGACTCGGGAGAATGAA